TGTACAATTAGCATAATAGTAATAGTAAAATTATTTTTCTACATTACTTTGTTGCAGACAACGACTTGTCTTTAAAACATTATGTGACGGGGCCATATCCAGACAAAAAAATCGATAACACAAAAAGAGTATTTAAATAACGATTAAATCAGTGAAAAACAGCGCGAAGTCCTTATGAAGGAGTTACACTAACATATTCAAGCAATGTACTAAAATTTGTGTTGAAATCAAGACTACCTAGTAAATTTTTAGTAGAGTCTTAAACAATCTTCAATTATCATATACAAATATTGAAACTATCATTAACGAAATTGTTTTTAATAATTGTATTGTTTAACTAAATCAATAAAAATTTAAAAGTATTAAATTCCATTTAATTTCTTTCTGGTTTTTTCACTTTTTTAACCTTTACAATTTCAAAAAAAATTTTCAGAAATCATGTATTCATAGCAGTGCAACATAGTATTCATAGTATACATAGTATTCTCTATAAATAATTGTTTTTTAAGTATTATAGTGAAAATATATCTGCAAGATTAGACTCATAATCCGTAGTTATCCATATATGCATTCATATTATTTTTTGCATTGATATTATATTCACGACTTCTCTTACAGTTACATCGCAAACTATACTTTAAGGTCCAATTTACTTGGAACCTGTTTTTAGTTTTCTAACAACTAAAGCCACACTGACTTCTCTGAAGACTCTACAAGTAGATACAAAATATCTATAAAGTAGATAAAGATTATTTCCATTAATAAATGAATAGGTATGTCAGTAGAAATTAAAAAATCGCAAAATTTATCTTTTGAATGGGTCCAGTTTTCAAAAATAAAACAAAAAGTTCTTTGCAGTGGGCACTATGCTTCTGTGAGGCACATTAAAGAAGATCAGTCACATTTTGACGAAGATTTTGACAAGTAAAAACCTGTGTGCACTCTGTGTCACAAAAGTCAAAAGTATAGCATTATAATGATATGTTGCAATTATTCTAAATGAAACGGTCATGCTTCTCAGTCATTTTAGTTGGTGAAGAAACGTAGAAGAGACGAAAAAGAGAAAAATATTAACCCTTTACGATTTGATAAAAATGGATCCCAATGAATTCGTCTCAAATGTTCAGAAGGCTCGATCTATTAAAAGACTTTGACCTTCATACTAAAGTCAATTCCGATCGAAGAGTATAAAATATATAATAAATATATATATTGAACAATGCTTAATTGTGTGGAGCTGAAAAAAAATTATTTTTAACAAATAAAATCTTTCAACATTTTTATGGACTTAAATTTTAGAAAGCTTTGCCACAGCTCTATCGTTGTCAGCACCCACCGCACAAAATAAAATATATATAAATAAGTGTTATATGTTAAATATTATTACAGTGATTATATTTTTACCAGCTCAATATAAATACATTTTTAATTTATTTCAAAGACTTCGAATTATATTACGATCTACATATCGCAGCATGTGTCTGATAATAATGTTTTAACTGTTAGCTGTGATGACAACAAATTTATATATAGTATAGTGCAAACTATTGCAATAGAACTTTATCAGAAAGCTTCAATGTATATTCAACACTCGAGACATTACCTGAGTTTCAGCTGTATTCACTTTGACTTTATTTTATCGTACACTTAACTCCATCTGACGCATACATAAAAATGAAAATACTTATAATGATTTATACTCTTCTCATAAGATACTCCTCTTTAACTCTTATACTCGACACAAAAACCTTATGAATTATTTCTCTGGTGAGTGTGAATGCATATAAGTGACGTATGAGAAATGTATTTATACGCATTTATACTCGGTTTTCGTGAGTGCATTCTGGGTATTAAAATTATGACTCTTTGCAGTTCTCTGGACCGTATGCAAAAACGGCTTAAAAGCTTATCCCTTTTTTGTTGAACAAAATATACATACATACTTAAAAATATAAATATTTTGTTGTTCAAAAAAAAAATTATTATTATGTTATTTAGACTTTACATCTGCATCATTCGCTCTGTATAAAAAATTTATTTATGTTACTAATTTGCTGGCAATTTACTTCTATTCAGGCATTTCTCAGACATTTAAATTTGTCTTTAGTTGTACACTATATATTGCTTTACCAATTATCTGCTTCATGGAATTAACTTTATTATCTAATATTTCTAAAAAAGATAATTTTGTGGAATTATTGAAAAATTTAAACAAAATTAATTTTATTCCCTATTCAACTGGGCATTTAGCTGTTCTGCAAATCCTTTTTCTGTTTAAGTTGAATTTACCAGTATTGTTAGTCTGTTGAATTGGTGTAAGTTCATCACTTATGTCTTGAAACAAACAAAAAGTTTTAGCAGCATTTTTCTTTTTCACAACAAAATGTACAACAAAAGTGTACCATTCATTCACATTGATTTAAAAACATACAGATAGATTAGTCTTTTATAATATACCGTTAGTTGCAGGTCCAATTAACTATCACACTTGCCGATTTTTGTGTTTGATTTGTTCAGATTTATGTTTGACACGATGTCTCCAGTTAGACCTGTCCAGATGTAAACCAGAACAGAATGTCGCTCATATAGCGTAATGTATTTGTCACATGAGTGTATTTGGACTCATTGAGTTTTATTTTTCAGTCAGTGCTGCGACTGTTTAGTGACACTTGATGCTTATTTGTGCCTGCTTCTTGTGTGATGTCATAACTTCTGTGTCACACGCATACGTTCCGATGAATGTGTGTCCTGCTGTAAGTATATCAGATGTATAGAATTGATTAAGTTTGGGCTTTAGTGCATTTCCCTGGGGAACTTTGACTTTAATATTATAAATGTTTGCCTTCATATCTTACAATGGATATCCATTCTGATAGGTATTATTCAAGAAGTTGGTAACGGTAGGCCGGGTGCATATTGTTTATCTTATATATAAGATCTTAAACTCATACGCGATCAAATGCTTAGGACACATCTACATGCACTACAGAGAAGTATTCAACAGCATTTTTTGCCATTTCAGTAACTTGATAATCTTGATCAATAGTCGAACGCTTACTGCTAAATCCCAGACTTGATAGTCTGGGATATTGAATATGTACATATGTTATTATGGCAATTGGTTTTTCTGTTGATTCTTCAGGATAGATTTCATCAGTTCCAGCCGCTTTTTTACAATTAATGTTTTTATCGATTCTTGTGCTATTTTTATAAGTATGCTACATACTAGTGTAGTAATAATATTATAAGAAATATTGTGTGGTTGAAATACTTTGACCAGATGTTGGCTTTCTTATCTATTTTTCTAACCCACAAGTTAGCTGTTAAAAAGACGAATTGCTTTCTATAAGGACAGATTTCTGGTTTTGTGTTATATGTCTTGGTTTCCTTAAATAAATCCTTGATTTTAACTGAATATATTACTTCCTAGGCAGTTTCTTCTTTTCAAGTCGAAGTAACATAAGTGGCTACCGTACATATTTGTTCAATGTATATTCCACTTATTTTTCAAAGTCTGCCTATATAGTTCTTATTTTTTCTAAATTGGTTCCAATTTGTGTAGTTGTTGGTAAGGTTTCATTTGGTCTTGAAGGTTGGTAGAAGATTTAACCAATGTTAAATGTTCTTTTTTGTTGCTATAAAATTATAAGATATTCCTTTTGTAATGAAAGAGTCTATTCGCATAAGATGTTGCTATCTGTAGGTTAATATGTAGGAGAACGAAGTGAGTGATAATTATAATTAGTTTCATAATCAGTAAGCAATTACGACTTCAGGCTGTCTCCTCCAATAATGAATCTTGGTATAAATTTGTAGGAGAAATACTTTAAAGCTATTTTATTATATAATTAATATTAGAATATAAATATAATAAAATATATTTAAAATCATAAAGAAGTACATATTTAAGTATTTATTATTATTCAAAATACAAATGACCTATTTTGTTATAAAATATTTTTACGTAATACAGCACCTAAAAAAATCTCAAGAATTGCATATTTAAAATTGTTTAAATAGACAAACAAAATACATGCGTTACATATGCAAACAGAACTTTCTCTACGTACGTAAGTAAAATCGCAACAGTACATATTAGAAACTCTTCACGAACTCTAAAAATCTACTGCGTTCGTAAAAAAATCGTACTGAAATTTCATATGTGCACTTTATTAGTGAAAAAAGTAGCTGCGGGAACCCTAAATATTTGCCCTTGCATTTTGCTATGCTTTTGTAAGCATATCGCAGAAAAACCGCTTGTTTTAAAAATAACATATAAAACAACAACACTGCTGGATTAATTAGTTCAACTCCTTTGAAACCGCTTAACTAATAAGCAGCTCAAATCGCATGATTGCGAACACTAAAAATTCGTCTATTACGAATGATTCGTGGAAATACGTACAAGATTTCCGGTTAACTGTCAACATATGTTTTAGTTAATTTATCATATTTCGTAGTTTCTACTTATTATGTTAGTATTAAAAAATTATTATTTACTTCGAAACTTTTACTTAAAATTTATGTGTTTTGCAAATATGTGTATTTGTGTATTTGCATATATAAACCTGAAGGTATCGAAACAAAAATGTCTAGTTTTGACAGAGTTGCCATCAAAAGTAGTGCTTATTTTATGTTGTTCTTTTGCGACATTCTTACAAAAGAATAGGCCTACTGCAATGTTTATTTTCGTTTTCTGATGAAAAGTAAACATTCAGATTGGAGTTTTTAGTTTTGATTGAAAGAGAAAATTATAAAATTGAACAACAAACCACGTCATGAATTTATGTTTACTGCAAACAAGATTTTATTTCTTAAAATATTTTTAATTTCAATGAAATTTTTATTTATGATATTTATTATGTTATAGGAATAATACAATTTAAACTTACTTTTTATTTTATTTTAAGAAATAATTTAAGAGCACAATTGGATTAATAAAAATTTAGCAAAGCTTTGTTTAAAATTTTTTTTAATAAATTAAATATAAAACTTATTAGAGATTCGGATAGTGTGCCCAGCGAAGACATGTCAACAATTGTCATCGAACTCGCAATGCTCTGCCGCAGGTATGTAGACTAGTTTTATGAATTTTAACATAATATATAATCTAAAAATCTGCACATGTTAAAAAAAAAAATTTTAAATATGAAATGAATACCACCTCAAAATTAAAAAATCACGTTTCCTAATGCATGACAAAATCCAAGCACTTAAAATTAGTCATAGTCAAGTTTGCTAAAAACGCATGAATTGATATTCAGTTTTGTATATAATTACTCGAATGCATTAAATTATGTGAACTAAAGCGGAGTGCATTTGGTAGCTGTAGCGATTTTTACAATACAGATAAGTCATGTCTATAATACAATATTATAAATATAATAAAGTATATATGTTCGTTTCAATTTTTTTGTAAGTTATATTGTTTTGGTTGTGATAAAACAGGAAGAACAGCCAATATTATATTATACAGCTTTTAATATTATATATATGAATACAGCGCTATTATTTAACAAAATTGTGTAAAAAACCAAAGTTGCGTCTTCTGTCTTCTGACTATTGACTAAATAGTTCTAATCAAATCATATGCATTTATATTTGTAGTTGCATGAACGGACAAATATTAAGTTTAAAAGAATTGCGTTATTTTTGCATTGACTGATATTTGTATTGTCCACTTAAGTTGATTTACCCAGAAAACTTAAATACTCTCTTTTTGTTTATTATTTTTTTACTAATATAGTAAACGTATTAACCAATCTTACTATATTATGTATTCTAATATGAGGCAAGCCAAAAACCCTCCAAAAAAGTATTTAAGTTTATTTTGGTAGAAAAGTTCATAGAAGTAAAGAAAATGTTATAACAATAAAAAAACTCTTTATTATTGTTGTTGTTTGTATGTTACTACTATTAAATAAAGGTGTATGTTTGGTTTCTATTTAAATGAAAATATTTTTTTTTAATAAACAGGAATTTTCTGAATTATTCGGCATAAAGGCAGGAAATTTTTATTAATGTAAATTTTAAATCAACATATTTTGCATATAAAAGTTAATTTGAAATAGTAAAATAAATAAAAACAAATAGTTCCATTCCAATAGTATTGTTAAAAGAACTTCTAACCATCTAAGTTATGAGTTGATCAGACACGGAGCTTAGAACCTGATATTTGGTAACTATAACATATAGGTATGTGTCTTGCTCTTGCGTCAGCAATATTGTTTATTAAAAATTAAAGGGAGTCTGTGTCCACTAGATTCTGGCAGTATTAGAAATGGTGTGTATGTTTGAATCCTCGATCTGATATTAAAAATAGTTGTGGAATAAGCGTATTACTTTTATGAAAATAATTATTGGCTAGCAGCTGAGAGCGAAAACTACATCATATGATGTTACCGAATGAATCTTTTGGCTAAAGAGGAAATCAAATAAATCGCCTGACACATAATAACCTCAACAATTACAGGCAAATTGTAGCACTGATACAACACTACGACTAAAGTTCTGGTTCAGTGCTCAGTAGATTTTTAATTATTCGTCAATTTCTTGTTGGTGACTTATGGTTTCAAGATTGAGTGTAAGCAGGTTAATCACACTGATCACCGATGAATTGTCTTTAACCAGTTATCAGTTGCGTATTCGGTCTTCTGCTAAAAAAGGAATAATAGTGATTTGCGGTCTTTGTTAAAGGTGAAATGTCTGCCTTCAAGAAGATTTATAAAATTATTAGTTGATAAATATATAGCTAGCAAATCTTGCCAAAAAAGGCAAAAGCAAAGACTAGTCAACGTTATACTCCAGCACTGCCCCAATTGGTACAGTGGATATATTGTTGAGGTGGTTCATTTTAAAAATGCTCTTTAGGTTTTTAAGGTATGCAATTGAGATGTTTCAAATATTGATTAGTATTTTATTGAGGATAGAGAAAATTTTAGAGCTGGAACATAACGTTGAAAATATGCCAA